ATCTGACCTAAAGGACCAATAAGGGGACAAGATACTTTCAAATCTTGGGGGTGGAGGGGGAAGGCTTTTGTTTGTGTTCGTTTGGGAGTGTGTTCGCTCTCGGGACTGAGAGGGACCAGACATCAATCCAGGTTCTCCACAGCTTTCTAAACAAGTCTCTCCTATTTCAAACTTGTAAGTAAATAGCCAGGCAAGGCGTGCTAGTTTTCCTTTGTTTTCTCAACTTGTAAATGTACCTTTTACTAGAGTGTTTATCTTTGTTCGCTGTACTTTGAACCTGAGACTAGAGGGGAGTCCTCTAAGCTCTTTAAATTTGATTACCCTGTAAGGTTAATTTCCATACTGATTTTACAGAGATGATTTTTAGCTTTTTTTCTTTAAGAAAAAGCTTTCTTTTTAGAACCTGATTGATTTTTCCTTGTTTTAAGATCCAAGGGGTTTGGATCTTGATTCACCAGGAGTTGGTGGGAGGAAGGAGGGGGGATAGTTAATTTCTCCCTGTTGTAGATCCCAGGGGGGTTGGAACTGTATTCACCAGAAGTTGGTGGGAGGAAGGAGGGGGAATGGTTAATTTCTCCTTGTTTTAAAATCCAAGGGGTTTGGATCTATATTCACCAGGGAATTGGTGAAGGTTTTTCAAGGCTTCCCAGGGAGGGAAAAATTGAAATGGTGGCAGCGGAACCAAAGCTAAGCTGGTAGTTAAGCTTAGAAGTTTTCATGCAGGCCCCTACATTTGTACCCTAAAGTTCAAAGTGGGGATCCAGCCTTGACACATTGAATACATGATCTACAATCCCTGGCTGCAATTCCTCTCTGCCAATTCCATCCTAGACCAGGAGCAGCACTTCAGGGGAGGGGGGAGCCTTGCAGGGCCTATAGCCATCCCAAAATTTGCCTTAGCCCTCTCTCCCCACCCCACCAGCTGCCGTTCTCCGGTCACCCAGCTCTGAAGGCAGAGCAGAGGCTGCTGGCCGGGCATCCAGCTCCAGCAGCATTGGAGAATTAAGGCCAAGCATGGGGCCTGAGACTAGCCCCCCAGCCTGTGTCCCCACTAGCTGGGACACGATGCCCACAGGGTAGGTGAAGCGCTGGAGCTCTCCACAGCGGTCTGGACTGACTCACTCCAGCCTGGGCGCCTGGACCCTGCCCCCCCCTACAATCACTGCTATCCGAGGATTCTGCTGGCCCTGGAGTCAGGTCCCCACACCCAGGCAGCTCCTGCCAGCTGCAAGCAGCCAGTGCCCCACACTGCTCAGCTCCAGTTTCAGACCTGGCTGGAGGTCGGGCCTCACGGCGAGGGGGGGCACAGCTCCCCAATTTTCTGTCTGGCCCACCTCTAATAGCTTGAGAGCTTTCAAAATTAGTTAACACCTATTTAAAGCAAATCCTGACAGACTTGCGTTAATAGCTCTTTCTAGAAGATTCATATACCCTTTTGGGTTGAAAAGGCTCCAGTTCTCTCATCCTCCAGCAAGGACAGGGACCACAAGACTTGATATTCCTGATTGTAAAGTTACAGAAAGCAAATGAAACTTTACAACATTTGGGCTGCTCTTATACATCATAAAAGCAGCACAAAGGGAACAGCTTTAAATAAACAAAGGTTTCCCAGCAATATTTGCAATCCAAGCATTCAAAGTGCCTGAAAACACTGGTACCATGACAGACAGGCTACCCAAAAAAATACAACTAATTTTCATTGTTTAAGTGCAAGAAGTGAATAACCTCAATGGTGAAAACCAAACTGGATTTCTAGAGTGCTTCCATTTTCCTGAGCTTGAGACGTTCTTGTTAATACAGGAAATGAGATTTGTTTAGCAGCATCTATGATTTGTGACTTAACTGGGTCTCCAACTGTGAGCACTGTGGAAACAGCCTCCTGCAATCAGTATGGCTGCATAGGCCCCTGCATGCATCTGATAAGGAATCATCAACATTTTACAACCGGTGTTTAACTCACAAGGAAAGAAACTTCTTCCCCCAATTCAGACCAAGCAAAAATTCAGAATGAAGCATCGCTAAAATCCACCTCCACCCTCCCAGGCCTTTAATCTGCCCAGAAGGGCCCTGGCGAGGGCTTTACAGAGGTTCAAACTCAAAGCACCAAATAGAACAGGAGTACTTGTGGCACCTTAGAGACTAACAAATTTATTAGAGCATTAGTTGTCTTACCAACTCCCACCTGTTCATGCTCTCTGTATGTGTGTATATATATCTCCTCAATATATGTTCCATTCTATATGCATCCGAAGAAGGGGGCTGTAGCCCACGAAAGCTTATGCTCTAATAAATTTGTTAGTCTCTAAGGTGCCACAAGTACTCCTGTTCTTTTTGCGGATACAGACTAACACGGCTGCTACCCTGAAAGCACCAAATGTTTAGCACAATCCTCAAACCCCAAAGGGGATAGGGGCCAATGCAGGGTGGGGGACTCAGCTGAGAAAAGGAGACTCGGCAACAAAGCGAACGATCTGCGAAGCAAGGAGCGAGACCCGGGAGCAAAGGAGCTATGGGC